ACGTTATACTTCTCTATCTTGAGTTCTTTATTTCTTCATAACTTCCCATCCAGTCCATCAGTCCAATTCTTCAGTTTCTCTGTTCTTGTCCAGGTCTACAGTGACGTTATACTTATCTATCTTGAGTTCTTTAATTCTTCATAACTTCCCATCCAGTCCATCAGTCCAATTCTTCAGTTTCTCTGTTCTTGTCCAGGTCTCCAGTGACGTCATACTTCTCTATCTTGATCTCTTTATTTCTTCATAACTTCCCATCCAGTCCATCAGTCCAATTCTTCAGTTTCTCTGTTCTTGTCCAGGTCTCCAGTGACGTTATACTTCTCTATCTTGAGTTCTTTATTTCTTCATAACTTCCCATCCAGTCCATCAGTCCAATTCTTCAGTTTCTCTGTTCTTGTCCAGGTCTCCAGTGACGTCATACTTCTCTATCTTGATCTCTTTATTTCTTCATAACTTCCCATCCAGTCCATCAGTCCAATTCTTCAGTTTCTCTGTTCTTGTCCTGGTCTCCAGTGACGTCATACTTCTCTATCTTGAGTTCTTTATTTCTTCATAACTTCCCATCCAGTCCATCAGTCCAATTCTTCAGTTTCTCTGTTCTTGTCCAGGTCTCCAGTGACGTTATACTTCTCTATCTTGAGTTCTTTATTTCTTCATAACTTCCCATCCAGTCCATCAGTCCAATTCTTCAGTTTCTCTGTTCTTGTCCAGGTCTCCAGTGACGTCATACTTCTCTATCTTGAGTTCTTCTCTTTATTTCTTCATAACTTCCCATCCAGTCCATCAGTCCAATTCTTCAATTTCTCTGTTCTTGTCCAGGTCTCCAGTGACGTCATACTTCTCTATCTTGAGTTCTTTATTTCTTCATAACTTCCCATCCAGTCCATCAGTCCAATTCTTCAGTTTCTCTGTTCTTGTCCAGGTCTCCAGTGACGTCATACTTCTCTATCTTGATCTCTTTATTTCTTCATAACTTCCCATCCAGTCCATCAGTCCAATTCTTCAGTTTCTCTGTTCTTGTCCAGGTCTCCAGTGACGTCATACTTCTCTATCTTGATCTCTTTATTTCTTCATAACTTCCCATCCAGTCCATCAGTCCAATTCTTCAGTTTCTCTGTTCTTGTCCTGGTCTCCAGTGACGTCATACTTCTCTATCTTGAGTTCTTTATTTCTTCATAACTTCCCATCCAGTCCATCAGTCCAATTCTTCAGTTTCTCTGTTCTTGTCCAGGTCTCCAGTGACGTCATACTTCTCTATCTTGAGTTCTTCTCTTTATTTCTTCATAACTTCCCATCCAGTCCATCAGTCCAATTCTTCAGTTTCTCTGTTCTTGTCCAGGTCTCCAGTGACGTCATACTTCTCTATCTTGAGTTCTTCTCTTTATTTCTTCATAACTTCCCATCCAGTCCATCAGTCCAATTCTTCAGTTTCTCTGTTCTTGTCCAGGTCTCCAGTGACGTCATACTTCTCTATCTTGATCTCTTTATTTCTTCATAACTTCCCATCCAGTCCATCAGTCCAATTCTTCAGTTTCTCTGTTCTTGTCCAGGTCTCCAGTGACGGCATACTTCTCTATCTTGAGTTCTTTATTTCTTCATAACTTCCCATCCAGTCCATCAGTCCAATTCTTCAGTTTCTCTGTTCTTGTCCTGGTCTCCAGTGACGTCATACTTCTCTATCTTGAGTTCTTTATTTCTTCATAACTTCCCATCCAGTCCATCAGTCCAATTCTTCAGTTTCTCTGTTCTTGTCCAGGTCTCCAGTGACGTCATACTTCTCTATCTTGAGTTCTTCTCTTTATTTCTTCATAACTTCCCATCCAGTCCATCAGTCCAATTCTTCAGTTTCTCTGTTCTTGTCCAGGTCTCCAGTGACGTCATACTTCTCTATCTTGAGTTCTTCTCTTTATTTCTTCATAACTTCCCATCCAGTCCATCAGTCCAATTCTTCAGTTTCTCTGTTCTTGTCCAGGTCTCCAGTGACGTCATACTTCTCTATCTTGAGTTCTTCTCTTTGTTTCTTCATAACTTCCCATCCAGTCCAATTATTCTTCTTACAATCCTTCTATACTCTCATTCATTCCAACCCTTCAGAAATTTCTTCATAACTACATATTTCCTCTTTAATATGTATATACCATTCAATTCTTTTACTTTTTTCTGGTGTCAGCCTGCTACTGAGTAGTGCTCCCAGTTTTAATAACAAAATCAGACGCATTCTACTTCAGTGATAAGAAAGACCTTCATCCAGTCTCATTCTTCTCTCTTATCTTCTCAACATTTCTTCATTCTGTCGACTTATCACTCATTCTTTCTGTTCTCCTCCAAACCCAACCACAATCTTCCTTGGGGAGATTTGACAACCATCATGACTGGGTGAAGTAGAAAGAGTCTGCCTTTGTCATTAAGACTAAGAGCACTACTCAGTAGCAGGTCGACTTAGCTCCAAAAAAAAATGGCTAACTCTGACATGAGGAACAGATGCCGTGTGCAGCCACTCCTAACATGGAGCACAGACTCTGTATGCTCATTCTGTATGCCTGGATTAGAAGCCCTTACAGGGTACTATCAGCATTTTCCTTGGGAAAAAGAAGCTCATGAATGAATATACATGTATGTGGCAATATGATAATAATGTGGGGAGAGAGAAATAAGGAAACCACAAGTTTGGAAGAGGAATTCCAGGCAACCAGCGAGAGAGAGCGCGAGGTTATATCCGCTGAACGACCGTTTGTGTCGCACACCACCCCCCGACTGTCCAAAAATAGTCCTGAGGTTCCAAGAAAAGGCCCCCCCCGGAATGTGGCCAGTGGCCCAAAATGGCCGTATTTTAGCTACCTTCTATCTACGTCTCTCTCTGGTTAACTGTAGATTTACTTTATTATTCCTGGAAGAACATACATTATGACATGTATACATGTATGTATGTATATATATATTTTTTAAATGAATACTGGGTGAATAATTGCTCTCCACTTATCTCATTATTTTTACTTGCCTATTTGTAACTAAAGATTGAATTAAACATTAATAAGGTACAATTTGGATTATATAGATTATAAACACAAGGTAATAAGACCACAAATACAAATAAATAAATAACGTGTGATGCCTCAGTAACAGCGTTATTACCACCAACATTCAGAACTTTTGTCTGATGATGGTAACAACACTGTAACCAAAACATCACACACTATTTATTTACCGTGTATTTGGTCTTATTTATAACCTTGTGTTTCTTAAAAAAAAAAAGAGTTAAATTATAGTAAGTGTTGAATTTTATAAACACAAGGTAATAAGACCAAATCCAAATAAATAAATAGTGTGTGACGTTTTGGTAACATAGTTGTTACCATCTTCAGACAAAAGTACTGAAACATGCTGAATTTAAAACATGCTGTGGTAAAATTTCTCATTCAGTACTTTTGTCTGAAGATGGTAAAAACGCTGTTACCGAAACATCACACACTATTTATTTATTTGGATTTGGTCTTATTACCTTGAGGTTATAGAGAAAATGAAACTATTATAGACGTGTAAGATTCTTTTAAAAATTAAACCATTATCTACTGCCCTTACTGCAATTAAAAATGAATGGGAGGGCCTGGTTCATTAATGGTAAACCCTCTCAGCGTTTTTAAAAAAAAAAACACATTTTCACATTTCTTTATATAATTTCTATGAAGATTTCTCCATTTACACCTCAAATTTGCCACTTTAAAGTGTTACTGTGAATATTTCCCTAACAATGTCTGTCAAATATTTAACAAGGAGCCACAATTGACAACAAACAATGTGTAAATAGGTGAGGGGAGAGTGATCACAACATTATGTAAGTAGGCAGACACCCAGCATATGCAAATTGGAGAGAAACCTCAGATTGCTTCCTTCTCTCAAGGTCACATCCATTTGGCACGTAGGAGTTACAGCATTCAATGTTCCCATAAATTAGGGGGTGAATTTAGCTGAATGGTCTTTCTTCTTCTTCTTTCTTATCTCCACTCAATCAAATCAGGGTATCAAGCTTGTAGAGCTTGTTGATGGTGTCTGTGGATGAGTAGAGCTCATCAATAGATGAGCTGATACAGTCAATGATGTGGGTTGCAGGTTGACACTTAGTACATAGTAGGAAAACCTTGCAACCATTCTGGAAAGTCATTGTCTGTAGATGACCAGACTTAAGTCTGGAAATCAAATACTGTTACTGAGTGGCCCTAAATACAATAAAATCCCTCTATTATTAAAAAGGAACAATTTGAATTATAGAATGTAAACACAAGGTAATAAAACAATATCCAAATAAATAAATAGTGTGTGATGTTTCGGTAACAGCATTTGTTACCATCATTCATTCAGCGTTTGTACTCCATGTTAGGAGCAGCTGCACATGGCGTCTGTTCCTCATGTCAGAGGCGGCCATTTCTTTTGGAGCTAAGTCGGCCTGCCACTGAGTAGTGCTCTCAGTCTTAATGACAAAGGCAGACGCATTCTACTTCACCCAGTCATGATGGTTGTCAAACAGACACCATCAAGGGTCACAACTTGATACCCTAATATGATTGAGTGGAGATAAGAAAGAAGAAGAAGAAGATTCATTCAGTATTTTTGTCTGATGATGGTGACAACGCTGTTACCGAAATGTCGAACATTATTTATTTATTTGGTTTTGTTACCTTGTATTTACCCTATATTAAGGTATCTTTAATTGTACACAAAGGTTTGAGATAACCTCAATAGAAAGGTCAATTTTTCAAGAAGTGAAAAACAAAACAAAAGGTAATTATTGAAATGTTTGCGACATTTTGGTAACAGCGTTGTTACTGAAATGTCACAAACATTTTAAATAACTTGGATTTGGTGTAATTACCTTTTTGTTTCTAATTTATAATAATTAAGAAGTTGGACTATATCTAATACTAGCCGAATGACCCGGGCAACGCCCGTGTTTTACCCGATTGAATGTTTTGATTCAAATACTATTCGTTACAATTATAAATTGTGGTCATGTGGCCTAGTGGTCATGGCATCTGCCCGGTAAGCGGAAGGTCGTAGGTTCGATTCCCATCCCTTGACACTTTTTTTATTTTATCCATTCTGACCAAAATCTATCCGTGAACTTCACACAGACAGAATAAGGCAATTATATAAGTAGATTTCTAAACAAGATATTGAGAGAAATAAAAATTATCCAATAATTTTTTTTTTTCACTCACTCTTATGCACCAATGATAAGGTACAATTTGGGTTATATAGATTAGAAACATAAGGTAAACAAGAACAAACATCCAAATTAAAAGCCTCTGTCCTTTATATGGAACGCTTTGTGTGTCATCCTTGAGCAGGGACCATGCTAATCTATTCTGTATTGTTCCAATTTTAGTATATGTAACGTTGAACAAGCATGTCCTTTATAGAGAGGTAGTTCTACTGTATCTTGTGGGAGAGATAAAAAACAAAAAAGAGTGCTACAAACATAGTGAAAATGCCAAGATCACTATTCCAAGTTTGTTGTTGTTTCTTATCCCCTTGTGTAAAGATTACACGAATTCCATGAGTTCATGATCTCATGGAATGGGGTATAGGGGTGCAGCTTTCATTGATCATGGCACCATGATCCAGGAACACTTTGGTGAAAATCTGACTTTGCCTGTAGTTTGAGACTGTTCCTAACATGGGATCCTTTGCTACTGACTCTAACATGAGTACAGACACAGCTCCTTTGTATTCCTGGAGTGGGACCCTTGCTGAGGACCATCAACCGGGTCAGTTGAACTCAGGATTTTTAGAGTTGTAAAACAAGTAACCCCTTCTTTGAGAGGAAAATTGTTAAATGATGGTGAGTAGAGATTGTTACTTTGGTTTTAAAGGACAATTGCAAAAAGTCTTAATGCTGCAGTATAATGAATAAGATAATTTCCAATAAGATTGATAAGGTACAATTTGGATTATAAATTATAAACACAAGGTAATAAGACCAAATCCAAATAAATAAATAGTGTGTGACGTTTCTGTAACAGCGTTGTTACCATCTTCAGACAAAAGTACTGAATGGGATAAGACACAATTGATTCAGTACTTTTGTCTGAAGATGGTAACAACGCTGTTACCGAAACGTCACACACTATTTATTTATTTGGATTTGGTCTTATTACCTTGTGTTTACAATAAGATTCTTTATTCAGCCATATTGGCCCTTTTTTTTTTTTTTAAGCCTGATGGTTGGAGGAAGATAATTATTTTTTGTATCCCTCTAGGTTCATTTTGAGATACAGTAGAACCTCCATGAAAGGACACTCACGCTAGAGGACACCTTTTTAAAAAGGACAGTTTTCATGTGCAAAATTAGCCATTTTTACTCTATATAAACTCTCCGGTAAGAGGACACCTCTCCTTAAAGGATACTTTGGCTCTACAATTAGGTGTTGTCCTTTACAGGGAGGGTTCTACTGTAACTGCTTTCAAGCCATCAAGTTGGCTAAATATAGAAACTTCATGTAAATCATCATTAACATGTTACTGCAAGTTTATATCCCATCATCTATGATCCCATCAACATGTGTAGTCTGGCCACATTATTGACTGTATTGACTCATCCATTGATGAGCTTTACTCATCACCACAGCAGACACCATCAACAAGTTCTACAAGTTTGACACCCTGATATGATTGAGTGGAGATATGAAAGAAAAAGGTGTAGTCTGTTATGTGTTACAAGATATCTTACCATTCGTTTGACTATTATTTTTGGTTTATTCATAGTGCTAACAGCTCAATATGCCACGTTAGAGAGGAAGTATTGACTCATCTATTGATGAGCTATACTTATCCCCAGCAGACATCGTCAACAAGTTCTACAAGCTTGACACCCTAAAGGACATTTTGACTCTGAAACTAGGTGTTGTCGTTTACAGAGAGGTAGTGCTACTGTACTTTTATAAGGTGATATAAGTTTATTTATTTAATTCAAACAAAAGGTAACAAAACTAAATCTAAATTATTAAAACATTACAAACATTTCATTAATTTGGACTTGTTACTCTTTTGTTTCTATATTTCAAATAGTATCAACAATTCAGTGATAATTTTAAAGAAAGAGATGTGTTATATGGTCAGCACTTAGATCTCTTGTAGACATTTCAGATAGAAAAAGTATCTTTGTAGCATTTATACAAAAATCAGGAAGTAAAAAGATGATTTTCTGTGCTTATCCTCCTCTCTTTCCTATCTTATCCATCTCTGCTGATGTAAAATACTTTCTTTTTTTTTTGCTTATCCCTAGTACACGTGGTACTGGCCATGATAATCATGGTGGGTAGAAGTTGGCGACTGCTTTTACCACATGTCTGGTGACAGCCTTTACCGTAAATGCACCACATATCTACACATGTGAAAAGCAGTTCAACTTTGCACTTACAAATGTGCCAGAGCCCCATTTTGGTTACTTGCACTTGCTGGTGGGGTTGAACTTTTGTAAGAATTGGGGGCCATTGGAACATTTTTTTTTTTTTTTATCAGAAAAAAAGTACCCAATGCGGGAATTGAACCCGGGTCGTAGCTGTCGAAAACCAACGGTTTAGATCACCCTTCCACCAACCCCATGTGAAATACTCATTATAGCAATATATGGTGAGATTCTCATTTCTTCACACCATGGAAACACATCAGTGATTGTATTATTCCACACTAGACCTACTCGCTGTAAGTAAAAAGATTCCCAGTTTCAAAACAACCTAACCTAACCTAACATGACCAAACCTAACCTAACATCTTTCTTCTTCTTTCTTATCTCCACTCAATCGTATTAGGGTATCAAGCTTGTAGAGCTTGTTGATGGTGTCTGTTTGACAACCACTGGGTGAAGTAGAATGTGTCAGCCTTTGTCATTAACCTAACATGACATCTATTAATGATTAAAAGTTTTTCTGTTCTAATATATTCTTTTTATCTTAAACCTATGATAAGGCACAATTTTATACAAGATTATAAACACAAGGTAATAAGACCAAATTCAAATAAATAAATGGTGTGTGATGTTTCAATTTATTTGGATTTGGTCATATTACCTTGTGTATTTTAGTTTCATTTCCTCATTCTTCAATCTGTCTGCAGGTTCTGTAGTGATGCCATATGTTTCTACCTCTTTATCTCTTTGTGGCCACCTTGTGTTACCCAACTGTGTAAACAATGAGGCTTGTCACCGGACACTGCTAGACCACACGGCCAGTTGACAATAGCAGAGTGTGCTTGTCCAACTTATAAACAATGTCTTCTTTTAAATTTAATAGCGTGTGACGTTTCGGTAACAACATTGTTAACATCTTCAGACATAAGTACTGAAAAAGTACTAAAATCCATTCAGTACTTTTGTCTGAAGATGGTAAGAACACTGCAAGTTAAAATACTTTCAAGTTTTTTTAGAGAAAACCACACCAAGATGCTCTGCGGTGAGGACCCGATTTGTACCTTCTGTAATTCAAAACTAAAAAATGAAATCACTCACTATATTTTTGATTGCTCTGCTCTGAAAGAAGAAAGAAGAACCCTTATGCTCAAAACTGGGCAACTCTGTGCTTCACTTCCATCAATAATTGACAATATGACCCAGAATAAGTATATTGCTACAGCGTTTTATGGTTTCCACAAGTCCATATCTCAGAAGAAGGCCAAGTGACACTCACTCCTCACTTTCTTACTGCTACTCTTTTTGTGTTGTTTTTCATGCTTCCCTCTTTCTCTTTCTTGTTTTTTTTTTCTTTTTACTCTGTATATATCGTTGTTTCCTTTGTCTCACTGCTTTGTTCTTATGCATACCTCTGGTGAATCCTGTATAGGGTCAGTGACCCTGAATAAAGGCTTTTTGTTGTTGTTGTTGTTGTTGTTGTTGGTAAGAACACTGTTACCGAAATGTCATACACTATTATGTATAGAACTATAAGTACTGGAATCCCATTCAATACAGTAAGAAAACATATACGAGAATCATGGGACGAGTGACACTCGTCCCATGATTCTCGTATATGTTTTCTTACTATTATGTATAAAAGAAACATTTGTGCTTTTAAATCCTTTCATTTTATGTGTATAGATGGCGTGTTATTGCTTTGTGTTAATTTATGCCTAACTGGCCTTGTCTTTATTGTTTGCGGAAGAGCATTGCTCGATGCAAATATTTGAATGTAATTCTACTGTCCTATAAGCTTATGTCCATAGTGTTCTTGAAAACCATTTCTGAGATTCCACCCTTCAATGCTGCGTATATAAGCAGAATAGTCCAATACAGTATTAGAGCTCTGAGAAGCGGTCTGGTGGACTAAATTGGCGAAACCGCAGGGAGGGTTCACCACTGATGAGCCAAGCCCTCCCAATATATTTTTCATCCCAGTAAGGACAGTAGAAGTTTGTATTATGTATAAAAGAAACATTCGTGCTTTTGAATCCTTTCATTTTATGTACACTATTTATTTATTTGGATTTGGACTTATTACCTTGTGTTTATTTCTTAAGCCTATTTAATAAGTTATTATTTGTTTGGTTAACCTAGGATCCTTGATTACATCATATTGTGAAAAACAAAAAAGTGGCCAGCTAAAAGAAATTTTCAAAAATAAATTTTCTCCCTTTTAGAAAAATAATTTGTACTAATATTTTGTTTTATACAATGTCTTATAGAACCACTTCTAAGTATCAAATTATAAAATAGCTTTATAATTATTGTTTAATCACTTTAAGGCCAAATTAATTTTAAATTTACATTTATTAAATGTATTAAAATTTTATATATTATTATTAAATACGAATATGTGTGTTCAAAGTATGTGTTTTCAAAGAATAAAATTATTGTCTATTTAATTTTTGTAAATCATTAATTATCACTTGACTCATTATAGAAACCAATCAAAATTGACAACTGAAACATTATGATTTCTGATATAGAAATTTTCAATGTGTATTATTTTAATTGAAATATACAATTAGAAAAAAAGTGTACAATCATTGTTGTAACTGTCAAAAAAATTTGACTCAATAAGATAATTCCCTTATATACATTTAAATTAGGAATTCTATACAATGTCTAA